AGTCTCTGGTTTATGTGGCCCTTTCTGTCTCTTGGGCTAATACTTTCCTTGTGTCTTTGGTGTTCTTCATTCTCCTTTACTCCACGTGGTTGGGACCAACTGATGCATCTTAGATGGCCGCTTGCAAGCTTTTAAGACCCAGATGCCACTCACCAAAGTAGGATGCAGAACATTTTCTTAATAAGCTTTGATATGTCAGTTGACCTAGATGTCCCCTGAAAGCACGGTCTCCAGACCCCTACCCCTGCTACTCTGTCCCTCAAAGTGTTTACTTGTATTCAGGAAACTTCGTAGCTTTGGTTTAGTCCAGTTGTGCCGACTTCCCCTGTAGTGTGTGCTGTCCTTCCCTTCACCTAATTCTTATCTACTATCTAGTTAGTAAATAACCCTCGCCCTCCCTCGTAACCATCAAAGAATGTTTTCTTCTCTGTTTAAACCTTTTCTCGAGTTCTCATAATAGTGGTCTTATACAATATTTGTCTTTCTGTGACTGACTAAATTCACTCAGCATAATGACCGCCAGCTTCCTCCATGTTATGTTTCACGGCTTCATCATTGTTCTTTATCGTTCTGTAGTATGCCACTGTGTGGACATACCATAATTTGGTTATCCATTCGTCCGATAACGGGCACCTAAGTTGTTTCCATCTTTTTAGCAGCCGTAGCTCTTAACCACTGTGCCACTAGAGCTCCATTACTAGCCCCTCATAATTATTAAATTTTGATTACAACATCCTACTCACCAGATTTTCTTCTCAGCCGATATGGAGTGGAACCTTCTTTTGAACCATAGACAGCTTTCGACTCTCCCTCGGGACTGTAACAGAAGCCTGGGTGATCTGTGAAGATAACCACGCACACCAGCAAGAATTAGGCATTCTCTGACTTCTCAGAAAACTATCACAACTTCTTTTGGATATCTGTTGATTTATTTTCTTTTTTATCAGACATAGATATAGACCCTCTACTCTCATTATTGATGCTGAATATGTATCTCAAGGCACCTAACAACAACGAAGACCACAATATTTTCCTCCAATGTCAGAGGCAGAGTTATATGAATGAAGTCACTTGGGCCAAAGAATTGGCTTGCCCTGTTCACACTCAGCCAACTCTAAACCCAGAGCTGGGCAAATAAGGTCACTGTCTCAGGCTGGGCTGCTCTGGCCTGGGCCTGGGTGAGATGCACGTGGCACCAATTAGTGGCTTGAAATAATTCCTTATGGTCAAGGGCTGGCCCAGAGCTGGGAATAAGTAACTAATGTTGAACTGAGGCAGTCATGACAACAGCTGACTTCTCCAGGCCCCCATCTTCCTCTGACTTCTCTCCCAATTTGCACAGACCTATCCATGGCCTGATGGTGCATGATGGTGCAGCGATTAAGAGCTTGGCTGCTAACCAAAAGGTTGGCAGTTTGAATCCACCAGCTGCTCCTTGAAAACCCTATGGGGCAGTTCTACTCTGCCCTGTAGGGTTGCTATGAGTCAGAATCGACTTTACAGCAATGGGTTTGGTATTTTTTTTGTCATCTATGGCCTGGCCTGCTCTTCCGAGTGCTCTTAAAACTCAACCTTAAAGACATTTCCTCGGAATACAATATGGGGATTTAGAGAAGACGGGAATTAGCCTCAGCCTAGCACCTGGGTAGGGATCACCTGCCATGATTTCTCAGGATCTGTTGGATATGAAGTATGGAATCATACCTAATCATACCAAATCATACCAAATCAAACCTGTTGCTGGAAAGTTGATTCTGACTCATGGCAACCCTATGAGTTAGAGTAGAACTGTTCCATAGGGTTTTCTTGGCTATAGTCTTTACAGAAGCAGACCACCAGCTCTTTCTTCCACGGCACTGCTAGGTGGATTCAGATTGCCAATCTTTAGGCTAGTAGTGATGTGCAAACTGTTTGTGCCACACCTAGTGCTCTTGAAATAAAGATGGTGGTGGTAATGATGCTCATATTTCTACGTGTGTGTGTTTGTGTGTTTTAACAATTTGCAGGCTGGGGGTGAAAGTTAAGATATTTTGAAAGTTTTAGTAAAAATAGAAATGTTTTAAGAATAAGCTTCTGGCAGACCTGGATGTGAGTGTTTAAAGCCAGTGTTTTCTCTGTTTATTCTATTTAATCTGCAAGATAACAAGAGTGGGAGATGTGCTGTTGAAAAATGCCTTACTTAAGTGGAAGGACATTACTTGTATTCATCCTCTGCCTAGAAATACAATCGAATATATGGGGTGGGTGTGAATTTAGAATTTAGAATGTCAGGAACAGCCACGGCTATCTAGTTGGTGTTTTCCTTGCAGCTAAGCAACCTGGAACTTTTAGGGGATGGGAGGAGGGGAGATGCACTGGGGGGCCTTGTGTTCTGACAGTGGGGGGAGGGGGAAGCGGGGGGGGTGACCCTGAAATCATGTCCTACATTGTTGGTTGATACAGAAACCTAGGCCTGTGGGCTGCCATCAAGTGACTCACAGATAAAGCAGTAGAAATCCACGTAGAAACAAGCTGACGTGTTAAGAAGAGATTATGCTATCTGCTGCTCTGTTAAAACAGCAAAAAAAGAAAAAAATAAAAAACAACAGCAACAAAAAACAAAACAAAAAAAACAAAGCCATTGCCGTTGAATTGATTCCGACTCATAGAAACCCTACAGGACAGAGTAGAACTGCCCCACAGGATTTCTAAGGAATGGCTGGTGGATTTGAACTGCTGAACTTCTGGTTAGAAGCCAAGCTCTTAACCACTGAGCCACCAGGGCTCCAAAACAGCAAATAGAGGGCGTTTTTTTTTTTTTTTTTTTTTTTTTTTTACAATTGAAGGTTTTATAAACTCTAAGGTAGAAAATGTTATAAGTACAAGTGGACAATGAACTTTCAAGTTGTATTAAGAAATCAAAACTTACGAACAGCATCCATTTCAAGTAATGCTTGCTTGGCCTGAAAAAGAGAAAGGGTAGCCATTGGTGCAATTACATTTTTCTTCCCTTTAAACTACTAGTACTAACACAGACGTGATGCAGAGTTAAACTACCAGGACTCTGGATACAGATTTTATCTCACTTGAATAAGTGGATTTTTAAAAGCTTGAAAAACAACAATATTTCTTTCAGGTATTAACACACAGTTCAGTAGGATTCAAACAGATGAGTGCCCCCATGTGGGCAGTAGATGACATATAATTGATGCTCAAGAGAAGAAAAAAAAACAAAGAAAGGTACACAAAAAAGAAAGTAAAAAAGCAAACAAACAGACGAAAGGAAAGAAGAAAAGAAGACATCTTTGCCAGAGGTTCACAACCTGGCTGATGATCAGCATTTATTGGGCAGATTATTAAAAAATGCAGATTCCTACTCCCCAACCCGGATCTACTAAACCAAAGGCTTGGGTCATGGGGTCTAGGATCTGCACCCCCACCCCCGAACTCTCCCTGTATCACTGGGGCTTTTTAACTGTTTTGTGTTCACCACAAAAAGGTTACTGGAAGCTTCCTCTAACTGCCTCCCTCCTTCTAAACGCTCAGTTATTGTTATTGCAAACTCTCTCTGTTCTCCACAGTGCTCCTGAACCTACCATCTCTTCTGCATGCCCTAGAACCTCCCAGAAAGAGCTGCAGTGTGGGAGGAGGGCTGGAAGGCACAGGCTGGGATCCCATCTCTGCCACTTAACTAGATATTTGAATATTTCTGAATGTGTTTTCTCCACTGTAAAACGGGGACAATACGACCTTCCTTTCAGAGTTGCTGTTAATTAGGATCAAATGATAGGCATGCAAACAAAGTGAGTTAACATCCTCTCTCCCTGAGGGATTGTGAAGGATAAACCTTGACCCTTGCTTTCTGTACACACAGTTGCTTCCCCCTGCCCTAACCCCAATCTTCTGAAGTTTAATGCTTTGGGACATCTTTTGTGTTGTTCTTGTTGCCATATCTTATCAATGTTTGGAGGAATATGAAAAGATAAGTTAATTGCCCTAATCATTTTGCCTGAGGATTCAAAGAAGAAAAAAAAATAGTTTAGGTAGCCTTTCTTGCCTCTTCAATGTAACTTTCGTTTTTCAAAGGTGATAGAACTTACACATACTATGCTAAAATCATTTTAAAAATAATTATATTCATATTTTGTTGCAATCTGTGATATCACTGCAAAAATATTTAGGCTAAGTGGCAATTATGTTTAATTTAGAAAGAAAAGAAAAAACAAACTGATTCAGTGACCTTAATGTTAAGAAAACAAAATGCTTATATTTTTTATCTATCCTACATCCAAAGTATGAGATTAATAATTCAAATTAATCCGAAACACAAATGTTAGCTCAATTTCTGTGAAGAACACTTACAGAACCATGTTAACATACAAAATGCAAGCAAAGTGGTTCCAAATTTATCTTCACCTTTATTCTCTGACTTTTAAAACCCTCTCTGTCCTAGGATTAGTAACAGAGAGCTCAGCTGAATTAATTCAGACGAGCATTTAGTTTATATACCATAAATGAATAGGTGATATGGCTGTTTCCAAGAAGTTCCCTGCTTTCCGTAAACCTGACTTCAAGAACCTCAGTATTTTTTTCCCCTAGTCTTGACATTTAATTTAAAAAAAGTACTACTCACACATTTTCCACTAGATGTCAGTCATGGACCAATCACAGAATTAAAGGAATGAGAGGGAGTTAACAGGCACCAAAATAATGAATGGAGCCCTGGTGGAGTAGTGGTTAAAGAGCTGGGCTGCTAACCAAAACATCAGCAGTTTGAATCCACCAGCAGCTCCTTGGAAACCCTATGGGGCAGTTCTACCCTGTCCTATAGGATCACTACATCGGAATCGGCTTGATGGCAATGGGTCTGGTTTTTTTTTTTTTTTAACTAATGAATTTCCAACAGCTGTGTTCACATCACTAGACCTAAATTTTTTCATGTTTAAAGTTTCTTATTCTGCATTTCTTTTATTTCAGAGAAATAAACATATTTTGAAAGTCTTAAGAAAATAATTTTAAGAAATAGTCTTGAGGAGTAATGTAAAAAGTTCAACTTAATGTTGTTGGGTGCTGTCGAATTGACTCCAGCTCACAGAGACCCTCAGGACAGAGCAGAACTGCCCTACAGGGTTTCCTAAGCTGAAATCTTTATGGGAGCAGATTGCCAGGTCTTTTCTCCTGCGGAGCCACTGGTGGGTTTGAACTGCTGACTCTTGACCTTTCAGTAAGCGGCTGAGTGCTTAACCATTGTGCCACCAGGGCTCCTTAACTTAATCATCCCGCTTAAAAAAAAAGTAGATAATTACTGTAACATTACAGTGGATAAAGTATAATAAATAAGTATGTTTTCATTGCTACTGGTTAAGACACTCTTTGGAGCCAGGCAGACCTGGGTTTGAGTTCTGACCCTGTCATGCACGAATTACACAGATGTAGGCAATTTACCTAACGTCTCTGAGCCTGTTTTCATTTCTCCTAAATAGGGAGAATAAGACCTGTCATAAGGTGCTCTGCCGAGGGTGAATTAAGAATATAAAGTACTTAGCACAGGGTATGTGTGCTCAATAAGTTATAGCTGAAAAAACAATTTTTGGATTCTAAAAGGATCAGCAACCTGGGCAAAAGGAACAATTCTATTGTGACTATATTAACTATTTTAATACGTAAAGGAAAAACAATCAAGAATGCACGTACCTATTGTAGGAAGAAAGAGGTATGTAAGCTATTCTTATTTTGCAATGGTCTATAATTGCCTTTAAGAATCCCCTTAGCAATTTTGATTTTCTCAGAAGAAGGCAAACAATAGGTCGGGCCTGTCAAAGACACTTGGCCATTGCTAAGAAGGTCATTCCATGGCACAAGGGCCAGCAAGCGACTAACCACCAGGAAAACAGCCACCCCTTTGCATGAGCTAGCTATACAGTGCATCTCACAAAGCCCTGATGAAATGAGCTCATGCTTACATCAAAGCACACATCTATGCACATTCACTTCCTGAGTACAAAGTCTTCACTGACAGTCCGGGAGAACAAGCTTCAAATGCTTTCCAAAATAGAGAGCAAAACAGGCTCTCTCCTTTCTTGGAGATCTCAGTGCTCTTGTTTTCCACTCAGTTCTCTCATGATCATCATCCCATTTTCTGCTCTACCTCACTCCGCCCCACCCCATCACGGACCATTTCACTAGCCACGTGGATAATCCATCATCACCCTGGCCTGAGCTCCTTGACCACTTTATCTCTAAAAACCTTTTCCTCCACTCCAGAGCAGCAACATATAATCATAGCCACCCACAGAACCTTAAGATCTCCTAGAATTGCACTATTCTAAGGCAGGGCTCTAAAAGTCCCTTCTTAACGACAGATGTCTATATTTCCAACTCTCCAAGTTTAACTCCTGCTGAACAAGTTCTCTTACTTTATCACCACCAGTATTACTTCAACCCACCCCTATTTTCCCAACCTGTTTCACTTTCTACTCAGCCTGGAAATTATGCTCAATGACTGCAGTGATGTACCTATGAGCACCCTACCTTCCCATGTCCTGTTAACCTTTCCCTGCACCAGCTCTGTCGATCCCCAACCTTGGGTAACCCAAGTGTGCCATGGTTCCTCAACACTAGTTCTAAGTTGCCAAGCACCAACAACCAAAAGAAAACTTGTTGCCACTGAGTCGATTCCAACTCATAGTGACCCTATAGGACAGAGTAGAACTGTTGCATAGGGTTTCCAAGGAGTGGCTGGTGGATTCGAACCATCAACCTTTTGGTTAGCAGCGAAGTTCTTAACTACTACGCCACCAGGGCTCCTTATGTCACCAGAGCTCCAAGTTGCTGAGCACAGATTTTAAAATACACTATCACACTAATTCATGGTGTCCAGCTTCAGCTGGGTCTTGGATGCCTTTCACACATTATTTTACTCACCCACAGTGAAGCCCTGATCCATTTTCTTTAGCAATTTTGTTCAGAACTTTTCCACTTTCCCTCAGGCACCAATTCCATCCTCGCTTCCCTCAGCTGTAGGTGACATCACCACCTACTTCAGTGAAATCAAGCCTTAATCCTCCTGAAGTCTGCCTCAAAGTTTCTCTATGTTCTCTCATCTCTCTTCCCTCTCAACTAAGAGAAGATGGTCCCAACCCTTTACAAGACTAACCCCTGTGCTTGTGCTTCTGACCTCATTCCTTCCCACCTCCCCGGGGTCGCATTCCAGCAAACACCCCTCCTCTTATCTTTACTATCTCCTGTCTCCCTTCAGTCCACAAGTATTCTTTACCTTGACAAAGTCTTGCTTTGATGTTGTCTCTCCTCAAACTACCACCTTTTTTCTTTTCTAAACTTTGTTAAAAAAAAAAAAAAGTCTACACCCAGTCTGTTCCTTCTTATAACCCCCTTTCTCTTCAACCCCTCTGCGATCCCTCCCTTTTTTAATCTCGTAATTGCCAAATCTAACATCTGCAAAAATCTCATAGTCTTCAGAGTTACTCTTCTCTGCCCTCTGCAGCACTTGAGACTGTTTCCCCAGCCCTCCTCCTTGAGCTTCTCTCCTCCCTTTGTTACCACAACACCTTCCTTGTCCGGCGATCTTTCCATCTCCTCGGCCACTCTTTCTATGGCTGTTCACCAAATCCCTCACCCCCTTGTCAATCACTTAGAGTCAAAAAGGTTCTTCTTTCCTTTATAAATTTTTATGGGCCATCCTGTCAAATCTTAGGGTTTCAATTACTGCCCTTATTAAGACAGCCTCCAAAGCCTCAGCTTCCAAACCTGAATTTCCACCTCTAGCTGACTCCACCCGGGACATGAACCGTGAGAGATTCTGCTCCTCTCCCTCGCTCCCATCTAACCGGTTTCTTCCCCTTTGCAGCCTGTCTGGGTACACGCACCACCATCCTCATGGCCCAAACCCCTGACTCATCTGTGACTCTTATCTCTCCCTTTCCTCACCCACCTACTGGGCAAATTCCTGCACCCACCACCTCCCAGATGTGTTTGCCTCTGTCCTCCTCTGTTTCTGTGGCTTGATGGCTGTGCTCCTCATCTCTTTGTGGGACTATCATGGTGACTTACTAATTCTTCTTCTGCTTCCCATCACCCCTCCTGCTTATTTGTCCCAATGTCCCCGAAGTTACTCTCAGAACACTGGAAAGACCATGCCATCCCTTCCTCCAGGCCCTCAGTAGTTTCCCAGCACCAATATGATCCAGATTCCTCAGTGTGATGGTGAATTTTATGTGTCAACTTGGCTAGGCTAGCCTAGATGTTGCTACGATGGTATTTAGACATGATTAACATTTATAATCAGCTGACTTTAAGTAAAACAGACTACTCTCCGTAATGCAGAGCACCGGTGACACAACAGCTAAGAGCTGAGGCTGCTACTCAAAAGGTCAGCAGTTCGAATCCACCACGTGCCCACTGGAAATCCTCTGGGGCAGTTCTACTCTGTCCTATAGAGTTGCTCTGAGTCGGAATTGACTCGACGGCAACGGGTTTGGTTTTTTGGTTTTTAATGTGAGTGGGCCTCATCCAATCAGTTGAAAGTTCTAAGAGCAAAAACTGAGGTTTCTCAAAGAAGGAGGGAATTCTGCCTCAAGACTACAACACAGCAATCCTACAGTTTCCAGCCTGTTGCCTGATCTATAGATTTCAAGATTTTTCAGCCCCCCACAACTGCGTGAGCCAATTCCTTAGAATCAACCAATCAAATCAATCTATCAGTATCAATTTCTCTGTGTGTGTGTGTGTGTGTGTGTGTGTGTGTGTGTGTGTATGGGTATGGATAGGCAGATAGACAGGAAGAAAGACAGATGGATAGATCGATCCTACTGGCTGTTTCTCTGAAGAATCCTGACTGATAACACTTAGTATCTATGTTTAAAGCCTTTCACAGGCAGATGACTCTTTCCCTCTCCCCTGACTCTCCTCCTGTTCTATCTCCTGAGAATCGAGCCCTCAGTCTATAGGCACAATACGTGTGACCTGAACCCAGAACCCCTATCCACATCTCTTCCTTCCTGTTTATGCCGCTCCCTCAGCCTGCTTTTCTTTTTCCCCCACTTAATGAAATATTGCTCATCCTTCTAGACTGAGGTAAGAGGCATTTTCCCTCATATGTTCTGTCCCTTCCCCTCCTCACTCAAGGGTAATGGAACACTTTATCCTTCTACTACACTTGGCTTTATGTCTATTATTTTATCGCGTCTACCCATTGAAACCCGTCGCCGTTGAGTCAATTCTGACTCACAGCAACCCTACAGGTCAGAGTAGAACTGCCCCATAGGGTTTCCAAGGAGCAGCTGGTAGATTCAAACTGCCAACCTTTTGGTTAGCAGCCGAATGCTTACCCATCGCGCCACCAGGGTTCCTCATCATGTCTAGCAAACAGCAAATGTTTACATGGCTAGCTCACTCTCTATAAATTCCTTGATAGCTGAGAATGTGTCCTGTTTCCCTAGCGTTCCCACAGAACCTAACACGCCTTTATTCACAATAAGTGCTTAGCACACCTTTGAATAATCCTAATAGCTTTCTTGCCTTTGTACTAGTTCTCTAGAAATTTCTTACAATCATTTCCTTACTGTTTTTTTTCTTTCAAGCCCAATAAACTAAAAATAAAAAGACCCCAAAATCTCCTCAGTCTTCCATTCCTGTGACATCTTTTCAATATAAATAGCTGGTTTAGTTGATCCCTTACATATCCTCTCTCTACACTTTCCTTATTTTGAAAATGAACACTCATTCCTGTCAGGCTGCCTCCCTAGGACTTGAAATCCTTCAGCTACTATTTGTTGGCTTCATGGTTTTACCTTCGCTGGAATCTTCGCCACATGGTTCTCCAGGATCAGTCTCTTCAAATGCAACACCCAAAGGCGCTTGTCTTGCTGGGATTTAGCCTAGCAGAAGTAGATGTGGACAGTCAGACAATGTACCCCTCCACCCTGACAAGATACAGATGCTCCTGTGCCCTCTAACAAGCTTGGAAACTTTGAAAGGCCACCCGGTGCACAGGGCTCATCAGCTGGAAAGAGGCGAGGATGTTGCTGTTACCTGAACGGTATGCTGCAGCTTGGGGTTCTTATAATGGAAGACGCTGAAGCTGAGTGGCTCCTTGGGGATCACTTCCACCAGCATCAGGTTGCTGCACTGCAGAGAGAAGGGACAGGATGAGATGCAGACCAAACCGGCACCTCAAGCCCTTGTCTGTGACCAGTGCTCAGACATACCAGGATGTGGGCTTTGTACGTAAACGTGTCGTCTCTCTTCTTTGTGATGAGCAGCAGCTTGTCAAAGAGGAAGAGTGTCCGCTCATTCTTGGCCCTCTGGATGCGGAAGGTTCCCTCGAGCACCAGCTCCCCGTAGCTGGTCAGGTCTGGCCCCTTCCAGTTAGTAAGCAAACTCTGTATCTCCTGAGAGAACGGAGGTCATGTGTGATTAAACAGGAGGTGGGAAACCAAGGCACCGAGGAGTCGGTGGTGCATCTGCAAAGCCTCAAGAACGGCTTCTAACGATCTATGACAGGGGTCACGTTGACAGATGCTGTCACTTAAGGGTTAACAGAAATGAATCACGTTCATTAGTGAGTTGCTGATGACTTATTTCTGTGCTTAACAATGTCTGTGCCATGGCTGACATCATCATCATATGTTTTTCAAAAGCTCAGTTAAAGAGGCTAGTATGTGACCTGCTCAGACAGGCATCTTTCCCTTGATGTTCTCACTTCCTAGTCTCTGGATGGAGTCTCTAGGTGGTGTACACGATTAACATGCTCGGCTGCCAACCATCCAATAGGTGGGCAGTTTGAGTCCACCTGGAGGTGCCTCGGAAGACAGGCCAAGAGATCTACTTCTGAAAAGTCAGCCACTGAAAACCCTATGGAGCACAATTTTACTCTGACACACACGGGATCACCATGAGTCGGAATCAACTCGACGTCAAGTGGAGACAATTGAGGACACAGCAACATTCCGTGGGCTCACCTGTAAGCGGACTGCATGCTCATGCTTCCGCTTCATGTCATTGATGTGCCAGGCCACCCGCTGCATGGTGTCGATGGCATCCAGCACCACGTCGTAGCCTTCTGTGTCCTTATCAAGGTGATTTTCTATTTCCTTAAAAAAAAAAAAAAAAAGTTTTCAATTTTTCCCTCATATAACCGATGAAACAAATCACACCTCCATTATTAAACCCATTGCCGTCCAGTCGATTCCGACTCATAGTGACCCTATAGAACAGAGTAGAGCTGCTTTATAGGGTTTCCAAGGCTGTAATGTTTACAGAAGCAGACTGCCACATCTTTTTCCCATGGAGCAGCTTGTGGGTTCAAATTAACGACCTTCCGGTTAGCGCTTAACCACTGTGCCACCAGGGCTCCGTACTTCCGTTATTAGTTCCTCTTATTTTATTTTGTTTATTTATTCACACATGATCACCATTTCCTAAGATTCTGAGCTAACTTGCCAGAAATACCTGCAACAAAATGATAAGGCAGGAATAAAAACAGGGTTAGGAAAAATAAAAGTAGATCAGAATTTCAGGTCAAAAAGGATAAAACAAAACACAGATGCAGCCATTACGCCTCACAAAGACATTAATGTTATCACAATTGATATCACAGTTGATATAGTTGAAGAGCTCTGAGTTTTCTGGTGGCCAATGTAATACAGTTTGCAGTAATACAGCTCTTATTCTTACAAGGCAAAAAACATAGTCTCCCACCTCCCCCTAAAGAAGCAAACCTTCTCACAGGGGACTTAACATAAAACAGACTCAAAAGTATAATGGATATTATATTAAAAAAAAAATTCCTCTACAGCAAGTGTATTTTCATGTAGTAAATCTTCATGCAGCTCAAACGAAGTTCACTAAGGACAAGCCTTCAGTGTTGAGAAAGAGCATGGTTCAAGTACTCAACTCTCAGATGGTGAGAAGTATGTTACCTTAGCACTTAGCACTAGAATTCCATCCTTCCAGAGAGATGAGAAAGGAACTTATCTCTGTTCTAATTCTTTTGAGCACATAAGACACATATCCCTATACTTGTCAAGGATCTAAGGATAGGGACTATCTCCTAGTGCCTTTGATCCTTTATCTTATCCACCGTTCCTAGCAGAGAACTGGGTAGTCAATAAATGCTTATTAAATTGAAGCACTATCTACTAAGGAGCCCTGGTGGTGCAGTGGTTAAGAGCTTGGCTGCTAACCGAAAGGTCGGCAGTTTGAATTCACCAGCTGCTCCTTGGAAACCCTATGGGGCAGTTCTACTCTGTCCTATAGGGTCGCTGTGAGTTGGAATCGACTTGACGACAATGAGTTTGGTTTTTCGGTTGATCTACTAAACAACAACAACAATCATGTAAGTATCTAAAGCAGTAAGAAAAAATAGTAGCCAATTAGATCATTTCTATGGCATTGGAAGAAATACAATCAGAATGCTCCTTAGAAGGAAGGATGGCAACACTATGTCTCACATACTTTGGACATGCTATTAGGAGGGGTCAAGTCCCTAGAGAAGGACATCATGCTTGGTAAAGTAGAGGGTTAGTGAAAAAGAGGAAGACCCTCAATGAGATGGATTGACACAGTGGCTGCAACAATGGGCTCAAACATAACAACGATTGTGAGGATGGCACAGGACTGGGCAGAGTTTCATACTGTTGTACATAGGGTCGCTATGAGTTGGAACCGACTTGTCAGCACCTAACAACAACATGGCATTTATCATGTATAATCATTTAACTAAAGGTTGACTCTTATGGCAGAACTTAAAAAGATCATTTCCATTATTTTATAGTCACACCTTATAAATCTTTGTTTACTTCTACTAGGCACTCAAGTTTTCCATCTAAAAAGACACTGGAAGGGAATCTACATTTTTTTTTTTTAAGTATTTTATTGTACTTCAGGTGAAGGCTTACAGAACAGATAGTTTCTCATGTAACAGTAACACACATGCTGTTTTATGACATTGGTTAACAACCCCAC